ATAAATAAATTTAAATATATTAAACTCAATAAATTACGAAATATTACATGACTGAAAGTTTTAAATAAATATTATAACCGAATTGACGCCATAAATTTTCGTAAATTACGTTAATCTACCCGTAAACTTTCAAAATTCTTGTATTTTCGTAAGTTCTATATAATATTACACTGTAATGTTACAAAGTATTATGCTGTAAACTTTCGCATAGTTTACATTCTATAATATTATGTAATACTACATTGTAATGTTATAAAATATTACGAATATACAATTTACGTAATCTTACGGCAGCCTCGTAAGTTTTCGTAATATTACAGAATGTAAGTTTACGCAATATTACGCTCTATTAAATTTACTGATGTAGCATTCTTCCTAAATATGATATTTCAATTACTTCTCCTTGTTTATTTCTTACAGATTCAGCTGCATATATGATAAAATGTTATCACGAAATTTTACATCCTATTATGCTACAATTAATTCAGATTCCCTGCTGTACACATATTTTAAATTTAATTGGGTAAATTTTAATTTTATTATATATTAAATTATTTAATGAATTACTTAATTATTAATAATAAAAATATATTTTTTAGTGACACTTGGTGTACATTTAATCATTTTTCAGTTGTTAAAAAATTATTAGAAAAAGTCAAAGAAACATTTACTAGAAGTCTAGCATGTCGTTGTCGATATATTGAACACTTAAAATTTCATGAAATTAATCAACCAAGAAAAATTCCTCTTCCTTGTAAAACACGATGGAATTATTAGTTTGAAATAGTTAATTATACAAAAGATCATCTTGTATATTGGCCTGAATTTTTTCAAAATGAAATTGAACTTGATGAAACTCTAATATTGAAAACTATTATGATTCTTCTTTCTAATACACACTTTGGGCATATTATAATCTATACTACTTTTATTTCTAATTTTTCTCGTCAATTTGTTCAAACTTTGAACTTTTTTTCAACAACAAGAAAAGCCAATATTTTCTTTTATTGAAAATCAATTACAAATCCTTTTAGCATATATAGAAAATAATATGGTTGCAGCAAGTTTTAGAGCTAATTTAGATACATTAATAATTAATCATCATTTTAGGGCCAGTGATTTTTATCCTATTTTCCAACAAGCATTTAATGTAACATATAAAAAATTTGCAAAGCATATTCCTTCTCATCCTGGGCATTCTCTTTTTCATGCTTGTTAAATATTTAATCCAAAATTTGTTCACCTTGGTAATATTACACAAAAAGATATACGTTGATATAATATAATTGCAGAATTGGATAATCTATCCAATAATTTATTAGATGAATAGGCAATTTATTGTGGATCAATAATTGATATAGAGATCTCATTAGACAAATACTGGTTAAATATGGCTAAATATTTACCACTTTTATCTCAAATAGCATTAGACTACATATGGTTATCCATTTCTTCTTGTAGTATAGAATGAAGTTTTTCTAAATACAATTCAATTTTAGATGATAATCGGCAAAATTTATCTGAAGATTCTTTATGTAGTTTAAATATACTTTATTTTAATGGGTGCATATAAAATTTTATTTTGTAATAAAATATATTTGAAAAATTATAATAAAACTTTGCAGAAATTTGCAGAATTTATAAATTTTATAATAAAAATCATGCAGATTATTGTATATTTTAATGCGCAGAATGATTGCAGAATTTATTTTTAATAAAAATGGAATCAGTGTTTTATAACTGCAGAAAATCATTGTCTCTGGTGGAAGGTACTGTAATTTTATATATAGAAAAAGTAATTAAAGCAATAATATCAAAAAAAATCATAAAGGATTTCAACTGGTGGATTTAAAAATATAATTGGCGCACTATTGATGGAACTCATTTAATATTAAATGATAAACCTTCTAATTCTCCAAAGTCATATTTTAATCGAAAAAAATGTTATTCTATTCAATGTCAAGGAATAGTAGATTATCATGGAATTTTTATTAGCTATGATATAGATTGGTCAGGATCAGTACATGATGCAAAAGTTTATAAATATTCAAGTTTTTATAAACAAAAAAATGAATTAATTATTAATGATGATTATTTACTTGGAGATTCTGCATATTCAATTTTACCATTTTTAATTATTCCTTTTCATCTATCAACAAATCAACAGCAAAAAAAATTTAATTTAATACATTCATTACATAGGGTTATAATAGAAAATGCTTTTGGAAGATTAAAAGCAAGATTTGTTTCTTTAAAAGGTTGCTCTGTTAAAAAGTTAAACATTTAATTCTTTTTGCTAATTATGCTATTATTCTTCATAATTTTTTGGAACTTAATGAAGATATTTGGGATTTAGATTTAGATTTAAATTTAAATGAAGAAAATCAAGAAAACAATGATTTTAATGATAATGAATTAAAATTAGCTAGGTAACAAAAAAGAAATCATATATTGTTTAATAATGAATTTTATTCAAAATAAAATTTTTATTGGTTATTTTACATTTAAATTCCATTTCTTTTAATTGTCTTTCATGTTACAATTGAATTTTAAGTTTTTCAACCTCTGCTTGTGTTCTAAATTTTTCAATTCTAATTTATCTTTTTCAATTGCTAATTCTTGATCAGCTTTTTGCTTTTTAAAATCTAACTCATTTTCTTGTAATTCATATTTTTTTTTCACACATTTTTTCTTTTGCTGACTCATTGCTAAAATAGCATTACTAATCGAACCAGTTAAAACTTTAGATCTTTTGTTTTTAAGTTAAATAACTTGTTTTTCTTGTTTCATAGATTCAATATCAACTGTTAATCTATCAGATATAAATCTTGGACTTGTTATTTCACGTGTTCCTAAAATTTCATTCAGTTGATCATACCATTTCAATCTGTTCTTGCAGTATTAGTTTGATTATTTTTTTATTTAACTTTATCATATTGGCATAATAATCCTTCTGTTTTATTTTTTTATTTGTTCACTAGAAAATTTTGGAAAAATGTTTACTAAAACTGAATCATAAAATTTACTTTTATTACTAGACCATATTGAAACATTATTTTGAATATATGTAATAAGTAAAGTAATTTTATTATTATCCCATTTTAAAGATTCTTCTTCAATATTTTTTTTATTGATTCTTTCCTTTTTTTATTACTTTGAGATTTTGTTTTTGATGAATTAGCATTATTATTATTATTATTATTATTATTAAACTTTTTAATTAAATAAAAAATTATATGTTAAAACATACTGTATTTTATAAATTATTAATTTAAAAAAATAAAATTTATTCATATCTTCAAATTAGATTAGTTTTGAATTTTATGAGATTGAAAAGATCGAGTTAATTGAGGCTGTTACAGTTATTGAGGTGATCGAGAATATTGTAGTTATTGATACAGTTGAGGAGAATAAGAAATATTATATGAATATAATGTCATTAAAAAAGAACTTAAAGGTAAAGAAAGTACTTGGATTTTTAGGAGGATAATTTTGTGAAAATGTATTATAATATAAAAATTCAACATTTTCATATTCTTTAAAAATATTTGCTTGCTGATATTTTAGAAGTAAAGGTAGCAATTATTTTGTTACTTTTGTTGCTTTTGTTTAATTTTGATTTTTAGTTAGATATTCTATTAGTACTTGACTTGTAAAATTTTTTATACTTAGATGCAAAAAATTTGAAATTTTTTAAAAAAATATGATGATACAAAATTTAATTGATTAGTTCAAATTTACATTAAATGCATCTACAAAAAAGTTGGTACATGTGATAAGGGATCAGCATCCCTAACTCAGTGGTTAAACAGCAAGTCTCCTATTAAGCTAAAGTTTCATTATACAGAAATAGGCCATTAGTTCAGATATCAGTCGATATATAAACTAAATGATTTTTAATAAAAATTTCATATGTGGCAGAATTGATGGGTATATGTACTAATATACATATAAATCTGATTAATTGATCTATCGATCAATATTAATTATACTTGAATACTGCATGACATTAGAACATGTAGATACAAATGAAACTTTAGATCAACAGAAACTTGTTTTTCACTGATTAGTCTGTAATGAATACAATCTTACGTCTTACCCAGTAGGGGTTCTTATTTCCATATATGTAAGTATACTAAGAAACGGGAACCGTTGTGAAGTCTGAAGCGAATATTCACCTATCCTATAACTCATTATTGTTTTATTTTCAGCATATTCCCAACCATGACTATGTCTCACCCGTGACATACACTTCTCCTAGTGTAATTATAATAATATCAGCTATTAAAATCACCTTATGGATCATATGATTTACTATGATCCTTAAGGTGATTTTTAATAGCATATATTAATTAATAATAAAATAGCTAAAATTAATGTTAAAAAGTTTAACTAACGATCTCGAAGAACACAAATTGTAACAATTAATGGTAAATTTTTTATTACATACAATTTTTAATTATTTTTTTTAATTAATTTTTAATTAATATATAATAAAATTTAATAAAAAGTAAAATTATTTGTAAAATGACCAAAGTCGTAATTAATTTTATTAATAAAAATTAAAATAAATTTATTAACATTAAAATGATCTGATTGTTTCCAGCCCTAAATTGTTCTTTTTTAATTTTTTGGATTCTTGTGTTTAAATTGCTTGAATAATTTACATTAAAAAATAAATAAAATTTCATTAAAAAAATATAAATTATCATATAAAATTCATTACTAAATTTTCATCATATAATCGAAATGAATCATACCGTTAATCCTAAGACGCTTTGAAAGTGAAATCAAAAAAGAATGAAAATCTTATACAATGGGAAGAAAGACTTATACGTGAGCGTGATCAAAAACATCAAAAAACAGCAGTGGAAATGAAAGATAATCATGAATCACGACTTACAAGTATTTGTGAAGGAAGACAGCAGAAAAAGCAAGCTGAAACCACTGAACAACGTGACATGTGTCTTGCTCGTAAAAATAAACGTAAGCGTGCCGCTCGTCAATTGCAACGAAATAGAATAGAACTAAATCATAATGAATTAGAACAAGAAAATGATAACATAGCAACCATTGATGAGGAGGATCATCGTATTTTAAATAAATTTCACAAGAAAATAGACAATATTTAGTATAATAATTATCCTGTTTGTAATGAACAAATTCTAGCGATAATTATCATCAAGGAAATGTGCTGGCGTTGCTATATGGAAAAGGAGTCAATAAAAAGGGTTTCAGCATAAAACAACATGGATCCTGGAGATGTACCTGAGGAACTCAAAGGACTTACCGAAATCAAAGAAATGCTAATCGCATGTGTATTCCCAGTAATATCTGTATATCGACTTCAAGGAGGACAAAACGGGTACAGAGGAAATATTATAAATTTCCTCAAGATATCCAAAGATTCACAAATCGGCTACTACAGAAACCATCATCAATAGACGTACTTGTGGTCTGACAACAATTAGCCAATAATCTAACTGCTTTCAAAGATTTTCATGTTCGCCTAGTAAAGTTGCTGTTGCGTTATCATGGCTAAAAAAAAGAACTGTTATTATGATGATATAATCATTGATAATGAAATTTTACAATTCTTACCTGTAAATGGTTCTATCAAAGACCAGCTTCCACAAATCCAGGACGATCCTATAGATGAGAGATTGGATGACACAGAAAATGATGATATTATAATCTCTCGTTCATTTGTACTATCTTTCCCTTCAACACAAAGAGAAGAAGTTGCCATCACTGATACACTTGATCATCTTCAAACTAATAGTACTCCTTTAATGTGGCCAAATATCGATGACACTCCCATAAATGAATTCCAAATGCCTGGCTATATGGTAAAAGCATTTCTGGCACTTTATCCATATGGTCTAGCTGATCTTTGATCTGACTGATTTAAAGATATCAAGCCAGCCGAATACTTCAAACATTTGATTTGGTACAAAGATGGTAGATTTGCAAAGCATAAACGGTGGAGGTATTTTGCACTGAAATCTACAATGAGATGGGGGCATTGCAAGAAGGAAGAGTTTATGTTAAGCAGAATTTGAAAGATGAACAAATAGATGTATCAGATATTCAGGATATGATTGCTAATAGGGATAAACACCTAGCAGACTGTATAATGAGATATGGCGAAGGATTACGTAGATCAAGACAATTTGGATGACGAGATAGTAAGAATTGTCAGATTTGATAAAACAAATAAGCCATCAAGGTCTATTATTTTTTACCTTTAGTGCAGCTGATTTCCACTGGCCGGAGCTGCATAATCTAATACCAAATTTCGAAAACTCTGGTGAAGAAACTGATTTAACTAAAGTTCGTCAACAAAACATTATTGATAATCCGCATATAGCAACATGGTTTTTTAATAGAATATTTAAGAATTTCTTTCATGATGTGTTGCAACCAAAATGGGACTTGGAAGATTATTGGTAACGTTTTGAGTGGCAACATAGGAGAAGTGTTCATGTGTATGGGATTGGAAAGAAACGAAACGCATTTAAAATTGATTGGAATCAAATGAAAGAAGATGAGACTATGATGAATGATGTAATAAAATACATTGATTCGATAGTTACCACGATTAATCCAGGGATTAACGCTACTATACCTGACAAACATCCTTGCCAGAAAATTAATGAAGAAATAGATGATAGCTCTCAGGATTATATTGAGTTAATTAACAAATTACAACGTCATACCTGATGTAGTCACTCATATTGTATACGTATTAAGAAAGGTCAACAATCTTGCAGATTTGGATATCCCAAAGATATCATTGATAATACTGTCATACGTGAAGATCATCATGAGCAGCCGGAACTGATTATAAAGAGAAATAATTCCTATATCAATCCTCACAACAGGCTACAACTGTAAGGATGGCGCGCAAATGTAGATCTTAAACCAGTACTCAGCATTCATGTAGCCTTGCAGTACATCTCTAAATATGCAAGTAAATCTAAATCAGAACTAAAATCAATTGCATTTTCAGAAATTTTCAATCAGATTCTTGATAATAGTAATGCGGATGATTCTTTACTTGCATCAATTCAGAAGCTTTTAATTAACAGCATTGCGGAAAGAGACATATCTGCACAAGAGACATCTCACCTTCTTCTCAACATTCCACTTTATCATAGCAGCCGAGCATTTGTTTCTTTAAACCTTAATGAAGAATCAGTCAAATGGATTCGAGAAACTGGTAGCAGAGATGATAGAGAAGACTTCAGCATAATTGATGATGCAGGGCGTACGACAAAATCACCATTAGCAAAATATTGGAATAGACCTGCAGACTTCGAAGAATTTTCATTATTCAAGTTAAACTTAACTCACAAATATGTCAACAGACATTGGAAAAAATGCAAATCTGAAAACATCATACGAATATGGCCTCATCCATCATCTTTACGCGATGGTCAGCAGTGGAAGAATTTCTGTCATATGAAGGTTCTCCTTTATGTTTAGCATCGAAGTCTTCAACAATTAATAGGAAACAACAGCATCTCTTGGCCCACATTTTATAATCAACACATTGACAATATCAATTATGATTCAAATGACTTGCTCGGGAAACCTGTAGATAATGAAGATGAGATTAGTGATGAAGAAAGCAATGATGAAGTGCTCAAAGATGAAGAAGAGGAATTCCGTTATGATTGGATGCATCTTGCGGAGATGGATCC